TCGGACCTATACGAAGACCTGGACATGCATAGATAATTTTATGTCACAGGCTGTAGCATCCATTACGAATTTCAAATACGACATCTCAAACAATTTCGGTGAGTATTGTACCCAAAATCGTCAAAATACCGAATATAGGGAGGTATTGATATATGGGGCCTATGCGAAGACCTGGACCTGCATAAGCAATTTTCTGTCACGGACTGTAGTTCCCATTACGAACTCTAAATTCGTAATTTGAAACTACTCCGGTGAATAATGACGCTAAAATCATCAAAATACCGAATATAGGGAGGTAAATTTTTATGGTGGCTATTCGAAGACGTGGACCTTCACAGACAATTTTCTGTCTGAGGCTGTAGTATCCATTTCGATCTTTAAATACCAATTTTTTTCAACACCCTACACCATTAACTAAAAAAATTGTAAAAATGTCGCTTAAATCGTCAAAATACCGAAAATCTGGAGGCACCGTTATATGGGGGCTATAGCAATTAGAGGACTTGAATGGAACATTTTTTGCTGGAAGAAAACAAACCTACCGAGAACCTCAATTGTCAACTTTCATCCGATTTGGGTGGAAATCGGAGGTAACGTTATATGGAGGCTATAACTAAATGTGGGCCGATTTTCAATACCAATCAGCCTGCACATAATATAAAACTTTGTGTCAAATTTCATGGCTTTAGAAAAAATAATTCACGAGAAAGACGACACGCATCGCTAAATTACCTTATCACTTTATTCTGATCGGGAATATATACTTTTTGAAGTCACCGACGAATATTTCGCGGTGTTGCAAACAGAATCACAAATTCAATATATCCTCCATTGTTTGGTGGAGGGTTGCTCTTAGTTTCTTTCTCTCATAATAGACCAAACCTATATTTCAACTACTCCCGCGTAATTTGATTAATACTAGTTCATCAGAAACATATAACGTCCTAGATTTTTATTTACTATTTATTTTCAACCCGCATATTCCCAAATAGACCATCAAAAATTTCCATAATTTTGTCAATTGCATGACCACATTCATATACCCTTTCATCATCAACATCTTCCCATAGTCAGCAAAGACTACTTACACATATTTTATCTCTAACTTATGACATTTTGTCATTTATTAAGTGGACTTACTTCACATACCACACTCCCACACAGAAACGCTCACTCACAGCAGTAAAACTAAATCAAATCTAAAATTGTTAACAAATCGTTATTGCCTTTTTCGATCAAAAATCCAAAAAAATCAACACAAATGACCACTGGGCTAGTCCTTGAACCCTGATCGCCGCATTTACCCCACGGGATGCAAAACCATAAATAAGAACCAAAAAAGGACTTCTTTAAGATTTATAGACAGACACAAGAATTCCTGAAAAGTAACCCTGGCATCGTCAACCTCAACATAACTAAAAACCTCCCCCCCCCAAAATAAGAGAGCTGCTGGGCGGTAAGGAGTTTATTCAAGAATATTCTGTCACTTCATGACAGTTGTTTTGCTTGTAAAATATACGACACAATTGTGCATGATATATGTATGTCGGTCGGTAGGTATGTTTGTATGTCTAGTACCAGCAGTTTTGTTTTATATTCACACACAAGGCAAAAACAACTGACCCTTTGCACCGGGGAGAGCCAAAAAGGGCGGCAAACGTCCAACACAAAACCACAAGAAATCTTAGACGAAGAAGCGCAACGAAACAAAAAAGGAAAGATGAAATGGTAAAAATTTATAGTTTTTGGGTTCTTGTGGTTTTTGAAAATAAAAACTTTATAATATTCGGTGATGGTTGGCATTGGTAGGTATGGTAGATTGTTGTTATCCTGTATAGACCTGCTCTGTGAACCCAATACATACGTAAGGGACACTGTAGGTGATTTTTGTTGTGTTCAGTCCATTTCATCCTTTTTCTCCCTAGTCAAAAGATGGTTAACAAACAAAAATACAAAATGAAACACAACAATTTGTAAAAAAAACAACAAAATGTTGTTGGAATGTGTTTGTTGTAAAAGTGTATCTGTTGTAAACTTATTTGTAGTTCCTTTTTTCGGCTGGTGAATGTAGTACATATTTGTAGGTTGTTTCTGTTTTTTCCCTTACTTTTGGAAGATGAATATGGAAATGTGGTGTTGAGTATTGGGGTATACTAAAAAATATATATTTCCAGCCGAGTACCACCAAATGGAAACGTACGTCCCGAAGTTCCCTCATTTGAGCTGATATTAGCCATTATTTGCACAATAAACCTGAAATCGAATTAAGCATATATATGGGAGCTATATCCAAATCTTAGCCGATCTCGATAAAATTTGACAAAGGTATTTCCGAACTCTATATGATACATGGTCCAAATATCATTATTGTCGAATGTATATTACGAATGTGAGGGACTTAAGACCCCAAGTCGGATGAAACATATATATGGGTGCTATATTTATATCTGAACTGATTTTTACCAAAATTTGAAGAACTTGCTTCTGAGCTGAATTCCGTTGCAAGTGCTTAAATTCAGTCCATTAGGGCTGATATTAGCCATTTGATGCACAATAAACCTGAAATCGAATAAAGATATATATGGGAGATATATGCAAATCTGAACTGATCTCTGTGTGGTATCTGATATCTGGTGCCAAATATCATTGTTGTCTCATTGTTTCAATTCAAGTCATTTTGACTGATATTGGCAATTTGGTGCACAATTAACCTGAAATCGGTTGAAGATACGTATGGGAGCTATATCAAAATCGTAACCGATTCTCACAAATTTCAATAGGATTTATCCTTGGGTCAGACAATTATTGTTCGGAAAATTTCATCTCAATCGGATAATAAATACGACCTGAACCTTGTGGAGAATATAGCAGAAGTAGTGGACCGACATATCCCATCTACACACCACGTGATAACAATGGAACTATTATTTCAGATTTTATAAGAGATATGATTCTAAATTTTGACCCTTTGTGGGAGAGGTACCAAAGCATGGACCGATGTATCCCAATCCCGCATTAGATCTTGTGTTGGTAGAAATACTAAGATGTGGCAAGATTGAAAGGAGTTGGATGTGTATTTCGCCTATTTTGAGTGTCATGGTCATTCAAAAATTTGACCCATCGTAGGGGAGGGGTCCGTTATATCCTTTCTTGATACCAGATCCTGTGTTGTGTTAAAATATTTGGATGTGCGAAGTTGTAAGACAAATTGGTTCTTATTTCACATTTTATAAGAGATATGATTATTCAAAATGTTAAGCCTTTGAAGGGATGAGTTGGCCAATCAATGTAACTATCATTGTTTTCACAGCTTACCTAAGATTTATGCAAATGTTAGGATTTGCAAAGCTTGATTGGATGAACCATTCTCTTTCAATGTGAAAAATTATTTTCTTTAAATATGTAGACCTTTTAATGGGTGAGATACCAGAAACAATGGAACGACATTGCCCATCACAGAACTCGATCCTGGTTTGAAAATATCATAACGATGTACCATTTTCGGGATACTCCCTTCGAGAGTTATCCTGCGCACCAGCCACACACAGGGACCTTCACCCCCAGATCGACTCCAAATTTCCTGAAACGCATTTCGTTCAAGGAGACCTACGCCTAAGACCATTATTTCGATGAGGCACGATTTGGCCATATTAAATGATATAAAAATCGTGGATCTCACACTATGCCAGTGAGATACAATATTTGGTTCAAGTTTTGCAAATCTTAATATGTGTATCGACATTTTCATAAATATTTTTCCTGACATAAAATTTTTTTTACATATTTTTATATTTTTACAAGGTCTTCGTAGTAAACAATTTGGGATTTTTGAAATAAATATTGTAGATTTCCAAGGCAAAATCGTAAATTATTTCAAGTGCCTCCTTGACGAAATGTTGAATTTTTCAAGAATTTTATTTTGTTGATTTCAGATTCAAAAATTATAATTTTTTTCGATCAAGCAAGCACATCAGGTCAAAAAAAAAAAAAGCAATAATTCGTTATGATTTTTTAAGAACATTAAGTCCAAAAATCTTAATTTCATGACCATTTTGAGGTAGAAATATTACAAATAGTAGAAATTTGGGCTAAAAATCTAGGTTTTTTGTGGAAACAGGTTTTTAGGACTTTTTGCAAAAAACATTGAGTTGAAACTAATTCAAAAACTTCTCGTTCAAAAAATTCTAGACTTTTTTAAGAAAATCTTTTATAGAAAATCCTATTTCCTACAAAAACGTTCATTTTCTTTTCCTTTGTAAAATTATACACGTGTTTAGTATATATTGCTACAAAGTTATCAAAAAGTAAGGTTACACATGTGTGTCTTTCCAATTAGTTTACATTTCCAACTTTCTCGTTCCACCCTCATATCCATTCATATTTTATTTATTGTATATTATATTCAAATATACAATAAAGTAAGACTACATATTTGTAAAATTGATTTGCATACTCGGTTTTGGTTTTCCATATTTAGGGTATGTATTTGTGAGTGAGTGTGTGTGTGTGTGAGTTTTTTTGTTGGTCTTCCTGGACAAGGATTATGTAAACGAGTTTTCAAATATTCTTGGTATTGTATGGCCAAGGGGAGTTGGAATTAAGGTAAATGGATTTCCTTGTGGTTAACTACCTTAAAAGGGGTTGTAGTTATGATTTCAGGGTCTTACAAAGTTTCACAACCGACACACACACACACACACCACTACCCCATACATCCAGACATGTAAGTATGTGTTAAATGTTTAAGCAATTTTGTGAAGATTTATGGTTAATTGTGAGGAAGGATAGCTATTTGGTCAAAATGATATGTGTGGCATGTGTAAACAGCATTTAAGGAATTCATTCGAATTAAATGGATCAGTAGAAATGTTGAAATGATTTTGTGATTTCTCAATTGAATATTCAAAATAAATAGAATTCACAAATGCCGGTATTCAATTTCTGATTCCAATTACATTAATTAAACAGTTTTAATTTCTGTAAAAATAATTCCGACTTACCTCTGTGTCGATTTGTTTGCTTATCAAACATAAGCATAGCATCTTCAATCTGCAAAGAAACCCAAAGGGAAAAAGGGGAGGTAATTATTATTAAAATACAATATTTAAACTTTCTAGTGCTTGGCAAATAGTTTTGCTTTCTAATGCACACCCTTGTGTTTAGTTCGGTTGAAGGGTGCTTTCCTTGCCATACTTTTGGTCCATTTTAATTAGTGACCATTCAATTAAAAGTAACTTAAAACTGACTTAGTTAAAGTATATAAACCCTGTTAAGAACATAACTCATCATCACCCAAAGCTTAGAATGTGCCAAAGTATCGAGTCAGCGAAAATTTCTTACTTTCTCCGCGCCATGTCATTATGATCCGCTTCCATACCTCCACCCCCCAACCAAAATGCTGCTGCCACAGTAAGACGCATACTCTCTTAAGGACGCCAATCAATATTAATACTTGTGTGGATTTTGAGGGTAAACTGGGTAAATGATGAGCGATGAGAATGATGAAAGTGTCGCTATTGCCATCATCGTCATCAGCAGCAGTGGTAGCAGCATCCGAATCTTCATCATCTTTGCCAGCCATCAACGTCAATGATGATAATAATCAATATGAAAAGTTGGTTGGTTGGCTCTATTACGACGCCATTTAAGGATATTGTCCTCATCAACCTCTAGTCGTAATTTCCTTCTAGTTCTACTTATTCTACTTCTACCTCCCTCTCCTCCACTTCTCCTCGTCCTCTTCGTTGTGTATTTCTTGTTACATTATTCGGTGGTTTCTAGGACAAGCTAGAACCCTGCCAATCAATCTAATGTCAATAATAAATTCTGTTCGTGACATAAATGTATTTTTACAGGTTTAGAATTATGTCATTTGACATTTTTTCAGCTTTGTTCTTTGGGGGAGTGGAACATTGCAAAATAGTAAATAATTATTTGGGGGGAAATTGTTTGAATTTCAGAATTGGGAATGAATTTTGGAAATACAATAAAACAAGGATGTGATTATTTGCTGAAGTAAAACCACGAGGAACAATAGCCTGAAGGATTCGGAATGCTAAACAAAATTAAGTCGAAAAAGTAGTCATTAAAATTTGCCATTGTAATTTAAAGTGATTTAAGAAAATGGAAATTTAAAGTAATTTTTTTTTCAATCACACATAAGGGTCAGTGATTATAAATATTTCTCTATAAGAAGATCTTGTTACACTAGATCTTGTTTTAGAAAATTATGGTGATGCATGAAATTTTAATATTATCAGATGCTTATTTGCCCTTTTATTCAAAATTTAGACCCCTTGTGGGGGATGTACCAGAAGGAGTGAGCCGATATCTACCATCTTTACAACAGATCTGGTATTGGTGGGAATATTGTAGTGTGTGAAGTTTAAAATGAATCGGATACTTAACTCGCATTTTAAGAGAGATATAATTATTTAAAATTATGACCCCTTGTGGGGGAGGTACCTGAAGGAGTGGTCCGTCCACCCATCCATTCTTCGCAACGGATCTTGTGTTGATAGAAATATTGATGTGTGTGAAAGTCGTACTCGTACTTCCATTTTGAGGGGGAGATAGTTAAAGGAGTGGACCATATTGTCCACTTTAGTTTGTGCAGAATTGGGTAATCTCTTATGTTTCTATAAGGTAAATTATTTTCTGTAAAAGTTCTAACCTTTTGTGGGGGAGGTACCAGAAGGAGTGGACCGATGTTGTCCATCTCCGAACTTGATCTAAGTTTGAGCAATTTTGGACCAACTCTGATTCTTCCTTCGAGAATAATCGTTGGCATCATCCAATCAGACTAAAAGACATCCCTAGATCGACTCAAAATATCCTAAAACTGATTTGGTCCAAGGAGATCTAGGAACCAAATGTTTTGGACATAATAAATGATGTAAGACCTCTGTAGCCATATGGCTAAGGGTATAAAAATTGCACATAGTTATAATTATTTGAGCGTTAAGTCAGATGTAAATATCGATTCCTTTAGGTACCTCCTCCAAAAATGTCATATTTTTTTTAGAAAAAATAACGGTTATAGAAGGCTTAATGACTTCACAATTTTTACATTTCATTATTTATATCAAGACTAGATTTGAAGTTGGCGTAGAATATATCGGCCCACTCCCTTTGGTACCTCTACCACAAACTGAAAAAATTGTAAAACATTTAAATACCTCATAGAAATCAATGGGAGTACTCAATCGGGTTTAATGTTTGGGCATCGAGATATTGAGACCAGACTTAGGTTGTGTTGGAAAATCGAATCGATGTGTTGACAACGATACTGATCAACTTCATCTGAAACCCTAAAGTGTAGATGAATTCAAACGCGATCCACTTTAAACTCCAAATGCCAGCAAGATCGTTTGGATAATGCTTTCAAAATTTTCATAAAACCATAATGTGGGTGGCTGAGGAGATTGTATGGGGGCCATACCAAGCCGGGAACCTCTATAGACAATTTTATACTTCAAGGACTGTCATCTACCAAATTTTCTTAAATACCAAATTTTGAAAAAATTTCCTGGGTAGTCACACTATCAAAATACCGAATATCGGTGGGTATTGTTATATGTTCGCTATAGGAAAATGTGGACCTAAATATTCAATGTCCTTCCGTCGGAGATAAAATCCATTATGAACTACAAATACCAATTTTTAGACATATCCATGGAAAAATGTGGCAAAAAAATCAACAAAATTCTAAATATCCGGAGGTACCATTATATGGGAGCTATACGAAAACGTGGGCCTATATATATTATGTTCTTCCACAGGAGTTAGAACCCATTACGAACTAAAAATATCAAACTTTTGGACAAATCCGTGGAAAAATGTGGCAAAAATAATCAAAACACCGACAATTTGGAGGTACCTATATGGGGCTATACCAAAACGTGGACTTATATATACTATGTTTCGTCATGGTACCGATATATGGGGGCTTTACAAAAACTTAGACCTATTGTACTATTATAACCTACATATAGCAATTTTTAGACAAATCCGTGAATCATCAAAATACCGAATATCGGGAGGTTGGCGTTATATGGCGACCATGCGAAAACGTGGTCAAATATCTCATTTTTAATACCAATCATCCTAGACACAATAAAATTGTTGTGGTAAAGCTTCCACGTCAAATAATGTGGGCTGTATTGTGATTTCAACAGACGGACGGAAGGAAAGACAGACAGATGGACATCTTCAAATCGACTTTGAATTTTATGCTGACTATGAATGTATGGGGTCTACGACGAATGTTTAGGGAGGTTACAAACGGAATGACTAAGTTAATATACCCTCCTTTTCAAGGTGGAGGGTATAAAAATGCCAAGAGTATAACTTTTAAAAGAAAATATTCTCCTTTTCCTATTTTCATAAAAGAAGAAACCTGCCTCTGAACTTAGAATATTACGTGGATCAAGCCTATGTATATTTTATATCGATTAATATCGTTAACGTCTAACTAGAAACCGACTAGAACTACTAGCAAATAAAAAAAGATTATATTGAATCCCCATTACAACCAAACCACTCGACAAATTCACTTTTAAAAGTCTCAAAAACATACACTCGCACTCACTCACACACACACACACACACACACCCATATGTCGATACTCTAAACTTTTCCCATTAACGTTAAATAACTGATAATGATGGCTTTTGCGCGATTACAAACAATGAAGGGACATCAGCGACGACAACAACAACAACAGGAACAACACCAGTAAAGGCAACAACAAGGCAAATGACTGTCTTTAGTGTCAACGCGACACTGACTCTGGCAATCTTTCGGCCAATGTCGATGATGATGACTTTGGCCTTACAAGTGAATATAGACCCGAACCAATTCGACGTCCTTCGACCTCCCTCTCTTCTTCTGCGGCCCCTTAACTAGGAAAATATAGTTAAGTGTTATTTTAGTTAGTAAGTTTTCCAATGGCTATTGGCAGAGAGACGGAGTTAACTCTGCCCCGCAGCCACGGCTACACGGATATCACAAAACTTTGACTGTCGGTTTGGCTGGGCGATATATAAGTACTGCAATTCAGGACCTTTTGTTTCTGGTGGAGCGTGAGAGAGAGAGCACGAGAGATGGAGCAGCAGAGAAACGTAAGAGAATAAAAAGTTTCCTTGCATTTGCCGGATTTCAACGAGAAATTACGAAAAACTTTACCATTTTTATTTGAAGTATAAACGTTATATAAATTGATAGTTGTTGGCTATAGGAAAAACACTCAAGCAGCGACAACAGCAACAACAACTCAAAGGATTATGCCAACGACAAAAATAAAAAAAAGAGTAGGGAAGTGAAGACTACATCAAACCGGTGCTCGCCATAGGAGGACAGATAAAGTGTTAGTTTCGCAACAAAAGTGTTAATTAATATTAATATCATATTAAGAGTGAGCGACAGTTGTAAAGACTCAACTTTGGAAACTATTATTGAAAGCTTTCATATCAAACCAGTCGTGTTGCGTCGACTCGAGTTGAGTTGGCACGAGTTGGGTTCAGTGTGAAACTAAAGTTCAACTAATTGCAAAAGGATTTATCTTAATTTACAGCCAAACAATGTTCAGTTGTTTCAAAGGAAATTTATGAGCGAAATTGGTGACAGCAGCAGCAACAACAATAGCGACAGTGGACGGCATCGGCGTCATCATCATCAGCTTCACTTTCGGTTCTCTTTAGAAGTTAAAGAATAACAATTGAATTCGGAGAAGAAAAAAAGTGTCCCAGGGACCTCCTAAAGTTTATGCCATTTAATTAAACAGTGAATAATTGAGTTGTTGCCATTGTTGTTGTTGTTGTTGTCGTTGTTGCTTTTGCACTGACTACACAGTTTTATTGAAATTTCTTTTGTTTGCCGGATTCTTTTAATAATTATCACAGCTGTGACAGTGATATAAACTGCGTATGTATGGACACCTTACAACATTGTTTGCCTCTGCAGCCTTCGCACCGCACCGCACTGCACCGCACCACTCCCCTCACCCAGCTAGCCATACGAAAGGACTACACAAAACGTTTTAATGAAC